TATGACAGTATCTGAAACCAGAATTTCTATGACTAGGGGATGCAGAATTTCTATGACTAGGGGATGCATCATTTAGCAACAGCAACCCTGGCACTGGTCATCAGGCAAGGACCCATCCCAATCCAAGCCTTGGTAAGGGACTGCTTCCCTTGACTCCTCTTCAACTCCCCCTCCCACCTATCTCCACACACACACACACCCACACACATTTCTAACCTTTTGGTCACTCTGAACAATAGTTCTCCTCGGTTGCAACAGTGCTGGGGCTGAAGTACAGCTTCAGAGCCTTTAGCAGTCTCAATCTTGTCTCTACTTCAGCCCCAGCCCTGCTGACACCAAAAACGTCAAGCCCAATGTCATGGCCAGCCACCCCAGCAGCACAAAACCCCTGCTTTTGAAAAGCTTCTGAGGCCTTCTGAAACCTCACGAGAAGGCTACTCTCACTAGTCTCAAAATCATATGCACTGTTCTTGTGAGGCTTCAGAAAGCCTTTGGAAAGCTTCTGAAGCATCACAAGAACAATGTTCATAATTTGGAGAATGGCAGGCACGGCTTTCTTTCAAAGTTATAGAACAGGGGTGTCAAACTCGGCGCGTCAAGTGACCTGTCGCGACATATCGTGACTTTTTTTCCCTTGCCGGAGGGGCGTAGCTTCCGCATGACGCATCTGGCCTACGAGCCGGCAGTTTGATACCCCTGTTATAGCAGGCCTCAGAAGCTTTCAGAAGGCTTTCTGCGCTGATTGGGGAACACTGGATACTACTTGGAGAATGATGCAAGCAGCTGTGGGAAGAAGGCCTGGTGTGGCCAAGAGTTGCCTTCCATGGGCCAGGATGTGTTGTAAGAGGAAGACAGCAAAAGTCCACTGGGTGCACAGAGCCTGAAGAGTGCAGGGCAATGGAGGCAGCTAGACATTTGCACTGTTGTGGCAGGCTGAAGCACGGGGCTTGAAGCAGCGCTGTTTGCTGACAGCATGGGGGGAACTGAAGTGGACCTGTGGTTGTAAGTGCCAAGCACTTGAATGTTGATAATGTAACTGCACAGGCGCTACAGCCATAACGACTGGGTATGCCATTCATTCAGCACCGCCAAGGTTTCAAAGGTCACTGAACGAATGGCTGTTAAGCAAAGACTACTTGAATTAGTATATTACCTAAAGTACGTACATGCAGAAATGAAACTTCAATAGGGAACAAAACTATTTTAAAAAACTATTTTGAAATTATGAATCTCCAGGTTTAGGCTGTATTCACATCTAATGGCAAGGTAATTAGAAGGAAGTGTTAGCTATACTGCAACATTTGTCCCTGTGGAAATAAATAGCTACTCTTTAATACTTGACATAAAAGAATAGGGACTCTATAATTAATTTTAGACTGCTATGGATAAGTACTAAATAATTTAGAGAAAGGCTGCTTACCCACAAATTTTCCTAGTTATACCTACTGGGCTGGTAATGTTTGACATTTTCAAAAAAATAAAACATTAGGCTTATTTTTAACCCGTCTCTAGAATGAATATACTAAGAAATTTTCTTCTTCGTTTCTGAAAAAACATTTTTTCCCCAAACTAAATCAAACTGGCAAACTTAAAAGCTGTTCTTTGCTCATTTGAAGTTAAAAGTCCTAAAATTTAAGTAATTTCCCATTTCATTTCATCTCATTACTCAAATCTGCCTATCTAACTGGAATGTGGGAAAATTCTTTAAAGAAAGCTATTTTGGCTAATTTTTGTTGCTTAAGAATCTAAATTTAACTTTTAGGACTTCCTTAAGTAAATTTCTTCTGCCACAGATATTCACAACTGCTGATTTTAGAACAGGGCTATTTATTAGACTCTTGATAACATAAGGTATTCTAGTATTTATATTGGGCGCAAAGGTCACTATATAACTGTATATTTTTTATACAGTTTTATAATATTGTTAGCTGCCCAGAGTTACCATATAGGCAGATAATAACTTTTACAAACAAACAATCTAGTATAACCCTGTGTATCAGAAGCTTCCTGGAATGTGTATTCAGCACAAGGTAATGGTTTATCTCCCAAGAAAAGGGAGACAACACAGATCTGTTTCCACGGTACCTTATGGCAAGGGTCTCCAACCCCAGTCCGTGGACTGGTACTGGGCCGCAGCATGCCAGCAACGGGTCTGCGCAAACAAGCAAAGCCCCATCCATGGAATGCAGGCAGCACACAAAACCACACACTCTCCGGTCTGTGGAAAAACCTTTCTCCACGGAACCGGTCCCTGGTGCCCAAAAGGTTGGGGACCTCTGCCCTATGGGACAGAAAACATTTCTTTTCCCTACAGTTTTCCAACTATAATTTAAAAGCAATATTTAAGGAAAGATAGGAAAAGTTACTAAAGCAAAAAATTAAAATATACACAGGAGCTTTTTGTTTCATTTTAAGTTTTTAATTGTTTAAATTTAATTGTTTTTTATTTAGTACTATATTTTGTAAGCCTCCCAATGTCTACTGAAATAAGCGGCTGTATTAAATCTAACAAATGATAATATACTATTATTAACATGTAATAGAATTGTAATAAAATACTATTTCTTGTAAAAGTTAGTTTGTAAAGATATTAAATTTCTTTTAGTTCGATAAATATACATTTTATTATATCGAATAAATTTAATTATAATAATTATATTTATACGATAGGAAGAAACTTATAAGTTGACTTTTTATTTTTGATGGTGAAAGTCAGTCTTAAATTCGTGGATTATAATTTGCAGTCGGATTATAATTTTCCGGTTTGTCAGTGGAAGGCAACAGTATGCTAAAAGTAAAGCTGGAATAAATTTAAAAAGCAAACAAACTAGGGATATATGAAACTAATTCAGTAAAACCAGTATAAAAAATGTATAATGCTCTAAAAAGCATTAAAGAGGTAAAACTAGTTCCAAAGCTTTTGCTTTATTTATGTATGATGTCAAGTACCTTATGAAGATTCCTAAAAGAGCCAATGTACTAATCTAGGCGTGTCAAACTCGCGATGTCATGTAACGTCGCGTGATGTATTGGGACTTTCCCCCCATTGCTGGCAATGGGGTGGCTGCGGTTTCAACGTGACGCATCCTGTCCATGGGCCGGCAGTTTGACATGCCTGTAACTAATCTATATACTGTAGGTGCTATTCACAAAATGAGTATGGAAAATTAAATAATAATCAATTGCAAAAGGCAGCTTTACTTGGAACAGCTTACAACCTGTGATTATACCTTTAACTCTATCAAAAAAAAAAAACCGCTTGCCTGTATCAGGTCCTTGGGAAGGATTTGACCAGTGGATAAAAATGCCAAATCCAGTCTGAACATCTGGTTGAATATGGCATATGCAACCAACCATAAACAATAAATCATATTATCTTGCTAGATTAAGCCATCTCCCTTGTGCTGGCAGAGAGGACCTGTGGTGGCAAAGAACTCTGTCAGGATCCAAAAGAAGAGCCTTCTTTGCCTTAGCACCCACCCTCTGAAACATCCTGCCCCCCCCCAGATGAGATCTGTCCCCCCCCACCTATCCTTCCACAAAGGCCTGAAAATTTGACTCTGCCAATTGGCCTGGAGATCCAATGGAGGAACAGCATACCCCACCTCTCCCCTACATTCCCTCTGCCCATCTTTTAATCTCATATTAGCAATAGCACTTAGATTTATATACCACTTCATGACACTTTACAGCACTTTCTAAGTGGTTTACAGAGTCAGCATATTGCCCCCAACAATCTGGATCCTCATTTTACCAATCTCAGAAGGATGGAAGTCTGAATCAACCTTGAGCTGGTCAGGATCGAACTCCTGACAGTGAGCTGCATTAGTCTGCAATACTGCATTCTAACCACTGCGCCACCACACATATTATTGTATTTTCATTGTTTATCTGTTTGTTTCACTATTTTGCTACTGTTATGTTTACACTTCTTTTCATTATTTTTTTTGTTTTTACTGCTGTAAGTCAACTAGAATAGCTCCACAATGAGCTAGCTGGCTGGCAAATAAATTTAACAAACAAAACACATAAATAAATAAATTTTCTCCAGGGATGCTCTCTTGTCCCTTCATGGATATATCCTTTGTTGTGGGGAACGGGCTTGTGATGCTCTGATGAAATTGAGAGCTATGCTGGCAGTAGTGCATTCTACCAGACAAGTCAGGCATGCTAGACAGGTTTTACCAAAAGAGCCAGACTAAGCATATTCACCAATCCATTTAATATAGAAAGAAAACAGAAAAAGAATCCTCTACCAGATTGGTCATCACTCAGGTCAACAAGAACCATGTCAGATATTAAGAGTTCCTGATCTTCTGTCAACAAGTAGTTTTGAGCTATTAACTTCTTCTCATATCCACATATAAAATGGCTCCCCACAGAACTGGAGACAGCTGGGACATTAAGTGCCTGTCAGCTAGACAGTGCCTGGCTCTGAGAGAGAAGTTTCTTTTGCGTCACCAGCCCTGAAGAGAGAATGAGATGACCTTGCCATGGCAGAAAAAGGAGATAGCCCAACTATTAAAGCATGCAGGAGAAAAAGATATGGCCTTTTTCCTGCCTGCACAGAACACTAAGATAAGACTTCTCTACAGATGTGGCCACTGCTGCCTCTAATCACCATTTTGCACAACAAGGAGAAAAGCAGGGAAGAACTGAACAAAGGAGAGAGAAAGACTGTAGCAGCAATTTCCTCACTGAGTAAGAAAAAAATAAAGTTGTAAAATGCAAAATAATGAGATATCTAATATCCCTTTGATCCCCGAGATACAGATAAGACCATTTAAAACATAAAGAAATGTATGTTTCTATGGCAGAAGAGGAGCCCATACAGGAAAAGGATGGAAAGAGCAGAGATCTAGGCTTCTAATACTGTGATGCCATTAACTGGAAAGCAGAGTTTGCGCTCTCTATCAAACCTTGCCTAACACTGCAACAGCAAACCATAGGCATTAATTATGAATTTGGACATTATCTAGAAAATTCTATCATTTAGTCTGAAATGTCTTTATATATGTTCTATCTCAAATACTATATATTCTAGAAATTCACTGGATTGTTTTCTGGCTTTGTTTCTTAATAATATGTGTTTTTAATTTAGATCTATACTTTTCCATTTCTAGATAACACCTCAAGTATATGGAACCACTTATTTTTATGACACTGCTTTGCTTCTCAGCAGATTGATAGTTGCTAAATCGAATTCTCATTTAGTGGGATCTTCAATGAAATCTTCCGAAGTACCCTCCCTGTTAAAACAAAGCATTTTTTTTCTCTTTGATGCTATTCTATGTTTGTTTTCATTTGAATTTCAGGTGGCTACCGATCATATTCCATTTTCACAGAACTGTTTGCAATTTTTTTTTCCCTGCGATTTCACTACAATGGTTGTGTTCTCATTTTCCTGGAGCATAATTTTGAAAAATAAATACTGTATTTCTCCAAGAGTATATTCTTCTGTATACAGCAAAATACAAAAAATAAAAATCTACCCGAATTGTCTTTTAGAACAGTAATAGTAGTAACTGT